TGAAGGGGAAGATCAGGAGTTAAGGTTTGGACACGCTGAGTTGGAGGTGGGAGTGCCTGGTAGGGAACTGGGACTGTGATCTGGGGCACAGTGGGTCACGGCTGTTCCAAGCTGAAGCGCATGGGGAAGTCCTTCTGTTTTCCAGTAAGGAGGCTGTTATTGCCTTTGAGAGTCAGTGGGTGGAGATCCGAATGCAGGAGGTTAAAGAATGAATGGGAGATGAGGAAGGAGAAGCAGCAAATGTGGACGGTTATGAGGTTTGGGGAAGAAAAAAAGGAGGGTTTTAGGGTCTGGAATGTGGGAGACAGAGCAGGTGTGACGATACAGATTTAAAAATCTTCAACATGGAGGGAGGAAGGAAGGAAGGAAGGAAGGAAGGAAGGAAGGAAGGAAGGAAGGAAGGAAGGAAGGAAGGAAGGAAGGAAGGAAAGCAGAAAGACAAGAGTTAATCAATAAACCACCCAGCAAAGTGTGTGGAGCCAGAAAAGAAATGTGCGTGGCCTGGCCCTTGGTGAGCAGACGTGACTGGACTAGCCACAGAATTCTAGATTGTCTGTTCTTCTCACAGTGCTTCGAAGATATTATTCTGCTGTTTTCCATTATTTCTAACAAGACATCAGACTCAGATATACTTGGTTAGATCAGTATTCAGTATTTAAAATTTATGACTCTGAAAATACTACTCACTGTCGATTGCTTTTCTTTTCTGCATTTCTTTACCTTTTCCCTGGAGTTAATAGTTAGTAATTAGTTTTCTATGGATGTACCACGAATATAACCCTAACCCCTCCTCTGGCTGTGTACCTGTCTTCCCCACACGCTCTGACACGCCAGGTACTGGGGTCACGTTGCCTTGAGGAAGCCGCTCCCTGAGCCTGGCCCCCTGGGGTGCTAGCTGTCAGGCCTGCTGCACTGTCCCCGCCTCGGGCCGCCCCGACCACCAAGCCGCCGGGTCCCTTTGCTGCCTTCTCACGCTGGGCTCCTGGCTCCCTCATCTTCCTTGTCTGACTCGCTGCATCATGCTGGTGTGCACGTCCTCCAGCAGCTTCCCGAGAGGGCGCAGGGGAGGTGGTGTTTGCAGACTTCCCACGTCTGCAGATGTCTTTATCTGTCCCCACTGTCACTCTGGATTGGGTAGCTGGGTTCCCAACTTCAATTCAACGTCAAATAGTTGAATTTTCCTTCAGCGCTTTGAAGGCTTTTCTGCATTTTCTTCATTTCCAGTGTTGCTGTTGAAATTTGGACACTATAGTTTCTCCTGATCCTTTGTATAAAACCTGTTTTACTTTTTCTGGAATCTTGTAGAATCTTCTCTTTGTTCCCAGTGTTCTGGAGTCTGATAATGGGATGTCTTGGTTTAGGGGTTCGTTTATCTGTTGTACTGGCCCTCGGCAGACCCTGTTACTTTGAAAACCCATGCCCTTTAGTTCTGGGAACTTTTTTTCAATTATTTTCTCTCTTTCATTCTTATTTTTTATTTATTTTTAAAAAAGATTTTATTGAGGAATTGGAGGGGAACAGCATTGGGGAATCGAGGAAGGGGAACAGACAGGTAGACAAATTGCTGTTTTGTTCTTCAGTCTAGTTGTGGAGGACGTCGCTTCGCTGGCCCATGTTGGTATTATCATTGCACTCTTCCCGGGTGAGGCAATCGGTCGCCGATCATTGGACGGCTGCTCACGGCAGCTCTCGCTGGCTGCCAGCCACTCATGTAGCTCATGTAGCTCACGGCAGCCCACTGCAGCCTATGCTGTCGCCAGTGACTCACGGCAGCCCAGTTCCAGGTCGAGCTGTTGTTCACCATCTTAGCTGTAGAGGGCACAGTGTCACTGGCCCTCATGTGGGATCTGAACCGGGGCCCTACTGCTCAGAGCTGGCGTCCCAAGCGAGCTCTTAACCAATGCGCCACTTGGCAGGCCCCTCTCTTTCATTCTTAAATTCTATCTTTCGGGAACTCTAATTACATCAGTGTTGGACCTTCTGGTCTGGTGTTCTTTGTTTTTCTTTTATTGATTTTACTTCTTTTGTCGTCCTAGTTTGAATTCCTTCTGCTAAGTTTTTCATCTCTGTGATTCCTTTATTTCCCTGAACATCTTTTTATATTCTGAGTGTTTTTTCAGCATTGTTTTTTTGTTTCATGGGTGCACTCATTTTTCTTACCCTGTCTAAGCTGTTGGTGACCTCCCCTCTCCCCCTTGCTGTTCCCCTGCAGAGTCTGTTTCTATGCCTCTGTCTTTCATGCGGGAAGAATTCCTAATCATTAGCACTCAGTGCAGAAATCAGACAGAGTGGCTATAAAATGTCTGCTGACCCTTGGCTGTCACTGCTCACACTTAGGGACCAGGCTAAGCTGGCTGGGGGCCCTTGGTGCATGGGTGGGGCTTGCTCACCATGGCATCACCATGGTGATATGAGACTTTTATTGCGAAACCTCAGTGTCGGACTTTTGTTTTCTCTTGGGCTGGTCAGAGCTCTGAGAGGCTTTTCAGTCCCTGCTAGAGCTCTGGGAGCTGAGTAGAAGACACCTGGGGTCTTTAATTCAGTACAGTTCTCCAGTCCGCAGGTGTCTTACCGTAGGGAGTGATTTTCAGGTTTGCCGCACGGTGGAGTCAGTCACCTGTTGCCGGAAGGGTAAGGAGCTGGGGGCCCACTGCCTCCGAAACAGACTCGCAGCCACGTCTGTCCTCATCTCGCTCGCCTTCCTGCCACTTCAGAGCAGCCTGGTGCCACCGATTTCTGTCTTCAGAGCTTCTTCTCTGCTCTCTCCTGTTGGCCAGGGTTCAGTGTTGTCGGGCCGGCTTGTCAGTGAACTCTCTCCCCCTGCCTCCTGGCCTCCACACCTGTCCTGTCTCCTCTCCTGCTCCCCGTGCTCCGGGTCAGGCAGGAGAGACGCCCAGGTTTCGCCCCTGTTCTCCAGGCTGTGGCCACACAGGGCGGTAGCTTCACTCTCTCCTGCGTGGAGTAAATTTATGGGGAGGTTGCCTTTTAGGGATCCACACCTTGAGTGGGGGTGTCTCTGATCCATCGCTACCTTTTGTAGCCCAGACTTTGTCTTCTGCCTCCTGCACGAGCAGCCCCTTGGAACCCAAGCGCTGGGCCACTAGAGACCAACAGATACCCCAGGATACTTGGCAGCTACAGAACTCACCCCTCTGGGCTCACAACTTTTTTTTTTTTTAAGATTTTATTGGGGAATTGGGGGAGGGGACAGACAAGTTGCTGTCCTTTTGTTCTTCAGTCTAGTTGTGGAGGACTTTGCTTTACTGGCCCATGTTGGTATTATCATTGCACTCTTCCCGGGTGAGGCAGTCACTCGCCAGCCATTGGACGGCAGCTCACGCCAGCTGCCAGCCAGCCCCGCTGCAGCCTATGCCGTTGCCAGCAACTAACGGCAGCCCAGCTCCAGGTCGAGCTGTTGTTCACCATCTTAGCTGTAGAGGACGCAGCATCACTGGCCCTCATGTGGGATCCGAACTGGGTCCCTGCTGCTCAGAGCTGGCGTCACAAGCCAACTCCTAACCAACACGCCACTCGGCTGGCCCTGGATTCACAGTTTCTTGTCCTTGTCATCTCTGCTCTCCTTTACTCTCTTCATTTGACATGCATTTAGAAGTATTATTTAAAAACACCTAAAATAATAACTATTAAAAGGATCATGTTTAGGATTCTATAACAGGAAGGTTTCTGCAGACATCTAGTCTACCACATTGCCAGATAGAGGCTCTCCCTGCATTTATGCAGCCTGCCTGCCCCATAGGGGGCCCACCTGCCCTGTGAGGGTCCCCAGCCTGCCCTGTAGGGGGCCCGCCTGCCCCTTATTAAGCCCATCCGCCCACATGATCTTCAGGGATGCCTGGGCAACCCTTTGAGGCTGGGAGGTTAGGTGCCATGGCTTCCAGTTTACAGCTCGAAACGCTGGCTGATAAATAACTGTATCCGATAACATGGGGAGCTGGTGGCAGAGCTAATATTAAAAACCTGGGTTTGAAGCCTTTTTCAATGAATCATGCTCTCAGAAGAGAACAATGTAGGTCTTCTTTTGTCACAAAAGGAAGCCGCAGGGAGGCTGGTGAGCTTCCCAAAGCCCCTCGGGCACAGGTTGTAGGCAGGCTGTTCGTGGTCTTTGCCTTGACACCGAATTCCTGCCTGAGTTGAGGACATGTGAAGCACAGTCCCCAGCGCCTCTTACAGCACAGTAAGAGCAGGCGTCAGGCAGGAGCATGCGATGCAGCTACTAGCTGTAAACACGGATGCGTCTTCAAGGAAAACAGCCGAGAAGGTCCTCAGCACTGCCCCTCTGCCACAGGTAATGTCGAGACGACTTCCGGAGCCCAGGGCACAGTGGACATGTTCTTGGAGTGGCCCTGCGATGTAGAATGCTGCGGTGTAGAACCCAAGTTCATGAACAGCCCTTGCGTTATAACCGAGTGTGATAGCAGCCCTTTCACACATGTGCTTCCTCCACCGTTCACTTCTCTTTCCAACACACATTGATGTGGAATGAAAGTTAGAAAAAGCCTAGACCAGGTTCCACCTCCGGGTCCCATTAGTTCTCACTCCCAGTCAAGGTCTGGCCAAGAAGTGAACTCACCTGCAGTCGTGTTGGGTGGGTTGGGATAGTTAATGGGACAATAGCTCTTCATTGTTTGGTGTTTGCACCCACCAACTTATAGCACTGCTGGGAACATGGTGTTGTGCATTCAGGGGCAGAAGACACGTGACATCAGGGGACGTTGCCAGGAAATGATTTGCTTTGCAGAGTCCTATATGATGATACCAATGGTTTTACTAGCTTCTCTTCCCTCTGTGTTAGTCACTGGAGAGCATCATCCCCGTTGATCTAGTTTCCATTAAAAAGCGAGTCAGAGTCCTCTAAATAAAAGCTGTGTTGTCTGCAGCACGCTGGCCAGCTCTTTCCACGCGCGTGCGTGTGTGACGCTCCCGTCTTTTTCGCTCGCTGCGCCATCTGCTCCTCTGACGCACTGTCCTTCTCTTCACAGGTACTGTGACTGCTTTGCCAGTGGGGACTTCTGCAACAACTGCAATTGTAATAATTGTTGCAACAATTTACGTAATGAAATCGAACGGTTTAAGGCCATCAAGGTAACTTTCCATTAAATACATGTATTTTAAAAGCATTTAAAAATGCTCCAGATGTTCATAAAACCATCTACAGAGATTCCCAGTTTCACTACAGGGAAAACCCAAAGTGTTGAATAATATACACTGAATGTGACTGATCCTCAGGGTGGGGCATTGGCCTGTGACAGGGATCGTGGGGAGAGCGGAGCCAGGGGAGACCTCCGCCCTCTGCCGTGTGGGATGGCAGCACAAGTCCAGCAGGTCTCAGAGGTCCCGACTTAAGAACATGCAAATGTTCATTTTGTCTTGATTTGGGCTTGAGAAATTTGTAGCAGAGAGGCCCAAGTTCAAAGAGTGTGGTCTGAGGAGGAGTGGCTGGCCCGCTATGCAGAGAGAACTGGGTGGGAGCTCTCAGCCATTACATACCGTGTTCCCCGAAAATAAGACCAGGCCTCATATTAATTTTTGCTCCAAAAGATGCATTTTATTCATTTATTCATGTACAAAAATCTACATTTCTTCAAATACAGCTACGTCTGACTGACAATCTTAACTGGGGCTTATTTGGGGGTAGGGCTTATATTACAAGCACCCTGAAAACATGCTAGGGCTTATTTTCTGGTTAGGTCTTATTTTGGGGGAAACCTAGTACATCTAGGGTTTATTCCCTGGGCTTCCACGTGAGGGGGAGACTAGGCTTCCTTCAATGGGTAGCAGCCCGACGGGCCACTTGCAAAAGGCTAAATGCAGGAGCTCGCAGCGTCCGCACCCCCGTGGGCATGAGCGACGATGAGAGAAGGAGGGACAGCTCTGCCTGGGCCTCAGCCTGCTCTGGGCACAGGCAGGTGCCTCGAATTCCTGTGGGCTTGCAACTGCCAATTGGTTGGTTTCTTTTGTCTAAAATAATTTAACTCCCCTGTTGAATTACAGATACACCAGTTGAAAATATCTTTGTTAATTTTGGTGCAGCCAGACCCATAGGACAGAAGAAAATCCTGATGCATCTGAACTTCAGGATAGTAGCGTTTTCTTTGGGGGTAAAGGATACTGTCTACAGAGGAAAGAGTAAAAAGTGTTATTTAAAAAGTGTGGAATTCTCAAGCATTGCCGGGAGGAATATAAATGAGTACAAGCACTTTGGGAAATTATCTGGCAGTAGCTACTAGAACTAAACCGTTGTGTGTACTGCGACCCAGCCGTTTTATTCCTAAAATTACAGCCAGTAGAGGTGAGTGTGCGTGTCCAACAGAAGTGTGTACAGGAATGTTCACATCAGCTTTATTCATAATCACCCCAAACTGGAAACAACCCACGTGCCCATGCATGGTAGAGTAGGTAAGTCTGTTGAGGGACGTCATGTAATGGAAAACTAGACATCGGTGAGCAGGAAAGGACCGCGGCTCTGCACAGCCTCATGGGGAGCCTCACAGACCCCGTGCCCATTGAAGAAGCCAGATGAAAACGGTGCGCGCTGGACGAGTCCACGTGCATGAAGGCCCAGACAGGCAAACGGAAGCGATCGAAGTTGGAGTAGTGGTTCCTGCTGGGGTGTGTCGGGGGGGGGGAGTCATGAGGGACCCCCCAGGGGGCTGGACTGTCCTCTGACTTTCCCTGGCTGGGGTTGCTCAGCCGCACACGCTCAAACTCATGACACACCACTCCACACGTGTGTGCGCTGAGTGGCCCTCGTGCTGCGGTAAGAAGTGAAAATGCACCAACAGAGCAGCCTCGCTGCAGCCCAGTGCTGCCGGAGGCCCTTCTGCAGCACAGCCGTTTCCAGTGGCTCTGGTGTCGGACGCAGCTCCCAGCTACCAACCTGGGGAGGGAGAGGGAAGACCTGCCACAGTGACTTCTGTGCTTGAATCTTTAGAAGGAACACTGAATCACCCTGTCGTTAAAACTATGTATCCATCCGTATGTCTAGGCAGCTACATAAAAAAGTTAAACCACCCGGATAAAAGGCCGTGCGTGCTGTATGAGAAGCGTGCGGCCCAGCGGTTGACACCCTGGGCTCAGCATGAGCCTTGGAAGCCAAGCCCATCACTTGCCATCTGTTATTGACGCGCTCAGTGCCTCGGGGTCTAGCGTTCCCTTCACAAGGTTGACGTGACGATTAAATGAGAGAATGCTCGTAAGTCACATAGGAAGATGCCTGCAACACCGTGAATGTTTCATAAACGTGAGCTGCAGGCAGAGCACAGGATCGCATCTATCCCAGGAAAACACGTCCAAGAAATGCTGGAAGGAAACATGCGTCCACATGGACTCACGATTTTCTTGGCATCTTTACCAACCGTTAATTTTCTACAATAAATATATATGACTTTGAAATTCAGGGAAATACAGCAAGGCCTGAAGAAACTGGCTGCAGTGCACTTTAAGCGTGTAAATGAATGAAAGTGAAGCAAGGACATGCACTTTCTCAGGTGTGTGAGGAGACACCGCTTATTGTGGCTCCTGCTAAAGTAACAAGTAGGTTAAAATGACAGGTAAATGAGTCACCTTTCACTGAACAGTGCTTCTTAATAGCAAAATACATCTTGATGGAGTGTTGCATTTTCTGTCTTAGGCATGTCTTGATAGAAACCCGGAAGCTTTCCAGCCAAAAATCGGGAAAGGGAAACTGGGGGACGTGAAGCCCCGACACAGCAAAGGCTGTAACTGCAAGCGGTCGGGCTGCCTTAAGAATTACTGCGAGTGCTACGAGGTTAGTAGCCCGGTGAATGTCACGGCCTGAGTCGCCGTGGGGTTAAGAGAAAAGCTTCCTGTAGCTTAAAAAGAGAAATAGAATTTCGTTGTCTTCTGGTGTTTCTAAAAGGGCACTCATTCATCTGTATTCATTTCTCAAATATAACTTATGCTTTACGAATCAAGTAAGTTAGCCCAGGGTCCCCTTGGGAGCATGCACCTTTTTTTTGAGGGGGGGCGCCCACTGCTGCAGCTCCCGGGGGTGGGCTGGGCCTCTTCCTCCCTGAGCAGAGCCGGCAGTGGGGGACATGTCCCCGGGAGAACATTTGCCAGGTGTGTGGGGCGGGCAGCTCCTCCCTGGAGACCAGAGGGGACAGTCGCCTGTGCTGCCAGAGATATGCCAACAAGCCGAGGTGCAGACGGATTCTTGGACAAAGCTTTCTTTCTCTCAGATTCCATGGCCGTAGAGGGACTGCTTTCTCCTTCAGTGTCATCTCTCTCTCGCCTCTCTTTTCTGTCTCTTTTGTGTTGAAGGAAAGAGGAGAGAGGCAGGGCGGAACCCCGCGACCCTTCCATGTGGGGCTCTCCTTTGGTTTGCTTGAGGCCTTTTGGGGGTGCCTGTGAATTTTATTTTTAAAAGGTGTCTGTAGGAGGTCAGTCCTAAAACAAGTCTTCATGGCTCTGGGGACGCATGTTAAAAGCTCCGAGTAAGCGGACCTCGCGTTACCCAGCCAGGAGTTTGAAAATACAGTCAAAACTATTGCAGAGATGGAGTTCAAAAGCCTGGCATCCCCCTCAGAACGGTTTTCAGATGCGCACTCTGCCCTTCCCTGCACCCTGGTTGGCTGCCATGGCAGCGAGTCAGCCCAGGAGCCTGTGCTAGCACCGGCCCACGAGATATGCATGTGTCCTGTAGTCCCTGGTGTTAGAGTAACTCAAAATCCTGAAAAGCATCCTGGTCAAAACACCCAGATACCCTTTTGGATGCATGTGAGTGGGAGGGAACAGAGGGCAATCCCCAGGGGCTGAGAACCCCAGTGGTTGGCAGTGCTAGCTTGCAGAGCACCCCAGGGCTGGCGGGAGCAAGGGGTTGGACCCAGGCTTGCTGGACACAGCCAGGACACCCCACCCCCCAGCCTCCTGAGTGTCACCCTGCCATGTGACAGGAAACAAAGTCCCCCCACAAGGAAGCAGGAACCTCCCCTCCAACCCCTAACACAGGCCTGCCCTGGGGGGGGCAGTTCCGATTCTACCCCCACAGCCAGCACAATACCCTCCACTGCTGCGGGAGGAGATAGCGTTGCCCCCCACTGGCACAGGCCTCATTCAGAACCAGTCAGGTGAAGCCTTTGCTGGGTTCCCAGGGAGGAGGGAGCTTCCCCACCAGACTCACACCCCACTCCCACACTCCCCCCACCCACCTCCCTTGTCAGCCGCACCACTGTGTCCCCACGATGGCCACGTGCTGACATGCACCCTGCTGTCTTCACATTACAGTATTCGCTCCTCTTCACATCTACTTTTTTTGGTATGAAATGGCAGATCAAGTGTGCTCACACCACACAGATATGAAGTTATTTAAGGTCCAAAGAGAATGTGCTGTTTTTTGATGAATTGTAGGGCAACCTAATTTTATTGAAGCATTTTTTATTACCAGGCCCAAATTATGTGTTCTTCTATTTGCAAATGCATTGATTGCAAAAATTATGAAGAAAGCCCAGAACGAAAAACACTGATGAACATGCCAATCTATATGGACATTGGAGGGTCTGAAGGCAGCCATCACTTGTCACCCACTAAATTTGCAGGACTACCAAAATTCAGGAAAGAAAAGTAAGTGCTCTGAACCCTCCTAATAGGGGAACTTGAGGGCCAGGGCAATCTGAGAGGAGGGTTAATTTACACACTGGGAGGAAAGTGGGTGTGTCTGTGGGGTTGGACAGAGGAGGGGATGGGTGAGGAGGGCCCCCTGCCTTGTCCTGTTTGTCCTCTTACTCCGCCCTTTCCTCCTCATGGAGCTGAAGGGCCCTACAGGGGTCACCAACAGGCCACTGACCTCAGGCAGCAGGGGCATGACATCCAGACAGCAAGTACCTGAGCCACTCACTCTTTACCATGTGAGGTGACGGCCCTGAGAAGGTCTCGGTACACGCTGTTTTCCTTACTAAAGGGATTGTGGGGGTCCACTTTAGTTGGTTATTTTCCCATTTAATTATTTTAAGGCCAGAAGGTAATCCTAGTAGGTCTCAAATGTTGAATAATTTTACTATATATTGGACTAGATTCACCCATTTAAAAAAATGTCTTTGCATTCGGTGTGATGGATGGGTCATGTCACGATAAAGTACCAGATGTCATTAGTTAATAGCATTGAAAAGCCAAATTCCTGCTTATTTGGTTAGACATCTATGCATCACTGGGACCGACAGAAATCTTTATCAGTGAAAATTTACCCAAAAATGGTTGCATTTTTCGTGAAATGAGATGTGAAAATGTTACTGCTGCCATCGGGATGGTGTGTGTCCGACGGAAGGTGCTGGAGGCGCCCTGCACTGGGGTCTGGTCTCAAAGTGTGGCGATGACTCCACCCAGGGGCAGCCCTGCTCTTCCACCTTCAACAAAAGCCCTGGCCTGTTTTCTTTATAGAGAGACTTTTTATTTTTTTAATTATTTTTTTTTTAGCTGAGCCATCCTGCCACCTATTGGCAGCTCAGTGGCGGCTCAGCTCGGGCAGGGACTTGAACCGCTGTTGCTCAGAGCTCGTGCTGTTGAGCAAGCTCTTAACCAACTGAGCCTCTCGGCCAGCCCTAGAGAGACTTTAATCAGTCCCAACATCTATTTCTCTATTTTCATAATCCAATACTTTTTAACACTTGATAAAAGTTTCCAAAAGGCATTCAGTTTGAGCACGACTTGGACAGCTAAGCCGCGGTTACTCTTGGGCTTACTGGGGGACAGAGCTTGTCCTGTGGGACACAGTACAGCCGCCTCTCAGAGCCTCAGTCGGGGCTGCTCGGCTTCCCGGGGGCGAGGCTGTGCTGACCTGCACCCCCAGGAGTGACAGGCAGGTGAGTCCTCAGAGCCCCTCCCTAGAGGCGTCCTCTGCCCCCCCCCACCCCCGCTCCCCCCAGTGCCTGAGCACAGAGCTCAGCCCACGCTGCCTTGTCTGCAGGGCTTGTCCTGTCCAGAGACCCCGCTGCTTCTGCCCCTGCCCAGCCCGCGGCTGACACTGTAGCCCAGGCCTCTGGGTTTGCTTGTGGATCTGATTGTGAGAAAAGTGAGAATCTACCATGAGAGGGATGTCAAAAAGCTGACATTTTCCTTCCTCTATATTTTTCTTCTAAAAGTAATCCTGATATTATTACAGTTAGTAGTTCCCACTATTAGGAAGACAACATTAGCTGTTACCAGTGACAGTCTAAAATACTATGACGGGTGTGTCCCCTTGGCTGTAACAGGTGTAGAAAAGCAGCAGTGTTGACCAGGCCTCTGACGGGTCTGTTTCTGACAGGCAGCTGTCCTGCATCTCCTGGGAGGTGGTGGAGGCCACGTGCGCCTGCCTGCTGGCGCGGGGTGAAGAGGCCGAGAAGGAGAACCACCCCGAGTACCTGGCCCAGCAGGTGATCCTGGAGGAGTTCGGCAGGTGCTTGTCGCAGATTCTCCACACGGAGTTCAAATCCAAAGGGTTGAAAATTGAGTAGAGTGCAGTGTGGTGATGTGTGAATTTCCTCCAAAGTTCTGGAGGAAATCTGTGGTGGAGGAAGGTGGTTTTAAGGAACGCGAGGCCAAGTCTGCATCAACAGCTACACCGTGAAGGCCAGGCTCCCCCTGCGTCAGGGGACCAGGGACTTGGTCTCCCAGGCGCAGGACATAACCGGTGCTGTTGGACCAGGTGGGGAGCCTGGGTTCCTGGGACGCGTCTGCGCTGACGGTGCGTCCTTCAGGGTAAACACAAGCCCTGGGGAGACAGGGAAGTCCGATCCTAGCGACTTCACCCTCCTTTGGGAATTTTCCTCTGGAGGCTTCTGGGCGTAAAAAGCCATAGGGATTTTCCCGCAAAATTATTTAGAAATAAATTCTCCAGATGAGCTGCTAAGATACAACTTAAAATCTCTAGAGAACTACTGCATACCCTGAAGAATTTCTGAGCGCAGGTATTTCCCTAGAGTCACACAAATTATCAGTCTCTGCTAAGGCCGCCGAGAAACGCAGACGCTGTGGTTCCATCAGCAGCGTCTTGAGCTGCGGGACTGAAAGTTATCTAGTTTCTTATGTGTTTCTGTTTGAATTGTGGAAAATATCTACTACCCAATTAACTTCTCTGTAATTATTATTATAATGTTATTATTGTTGGTAAAATATGGTTAAAATAACTAGTTTGCAGGAAGCAGCAGGTAAGATTAGTTATTAAGTTGACTCTCTTTTAGTTCTATTGTAAAAGCAAATGAATAAAATTTTCAAATGTCTTCTGTTGTTGTAATTAACTTAGTGACTGACAGGACCTGGGGTGGCGGCTCTGTGACTCCTTCGGGTTGGGCTGCTTTCCTTCTGTGTCCCTCTCAGCAGCGCTACCAATTGCAATTTCTGCCAGTCACATAGGCAATTTAAAATTGTCAAGTAGCCACATTTTAAAAAGCGAGAGAAACAGGTGAAATTCATCTTAACCCAGTATATTTAACCCAATATATCCCAAACACTATCATTCCAACATGTAGTCAAAATAAAAATGATTGCAATAGTTCACATTCTTTGTATGTACTAAATCTTTGCAATCTAGTGTGTATTCTACACTCACAGCACACCTGCATTCCCACCAGCCACATTTAAGTGCCAGGAGCCTCACTGCGCAGGTGAGTGGCGGCAGGGACAGGGTCCTCCAGCACTATCCTGAGATAGCGAGCTGCCTGGAAGGCCCTGCAGCCAGGTGCAGCCCACCTGCAGAGCCCGGAGGTGGCCTGGCCAGCAAGGCCGCCCCTAGGACCAGGGCTTCTACAGCCCCGGGTCCTGTGGGGTCAAGGACCTTCAGTGCTGCTGCTGCGGCCAGGTGTTCTGAGCTAAACCCTGAAAGTTAGGGGCAGGACCTCTGGGGGCGCATGACCCCTGCAGGGTTTCTCAATGGGGAGAATTTGGCAAGTCGGAACAGCTTTTAGAAAATCCAATGTGAAGTAAAAGACAGTTACAGCTGTGTATGAAGCCACTTGATGCGGCTCAGAGGCAGCAGTTACGATGGACAACTAAAAAGATAGAAAACCACATCTTTTTTTGTTTCTGGTAGGCGTCAATTCTATTTTAAAACCATACAAAAATAAAAGGAGCGTGTCCTTATTTCTGGGTGTGCTGTGCAAATTTAGCCGCCTGTATCTTCTGAATGAGTTGGGCCACCTTTGTGAGTTTTTTGGCTTTTGTTTTTCTTTTCCCAGAAATGCAGCTTAGCTTAAACCGGTCTTTTCAAGAATTTGAGGAAAAGTTACCAAAAAATTTGACACGCTGAAAGATAACTTTGTCTACTCATAACACTCCTGACACACAATGGGTGGCACTGTCCCCACCAACCAATCCTCCCGCTCTCTGGGCACCGACTCTGGGTGTCCTCTAATTTCATCCAGTTCGGACACTACCCAGGGTTAGTGTCAGATCACACAGGGTCAGGGCCCGCCCCACAGGCTGCCCCAGCTTCAGACACCAACCCAAGTAATGGGGCCCAAGTTACCCTCGCTTCTGCCTGACTTGTCTCCAATCTGAAGTTCCCATGACCCCTCCTCGGGTTGGTTAATTTGCTATAATGGTTCATACAACACAGGGAAAGACTTTACTTACTACGGTTTATTATAAAGGACCCAGATGACAGCCAGATGAAGGGGTACAGACCTCCAGCCCTCTCCCCAGCCTGGACGATGGGCTGTGGGGCTGAAAGTTCCAAGCTTCTAATCCTGGCTGGGTTTTTCTGGTCATCAGCCCCCATCCTGAAGCCAGCCAGGAGCCACCCAGAGTCACCTCATTAGAACAAAAGACACCCCTGTCACCCAGGAAATTCCAAGGTAATCAGATGCTGTGTTTAAGACCCTCCTGTCACCCCCATCACTCAGGAAATTATAAGCGTTTTAGGAGCTCTGCGTCAGGAACCGGGGGCAGAGACCAACCATATATTTCTTACGTCACACATGCTGAAAATGTTCTTTCCTATTATTTAACCACAAGCTGGTACACAGTACAGAAACATGGGAGCAAACGAACCATCCTTAAGAGAGAACCTTCCATTGACAGCAAAACATCAGAAACCTACCTGTCATCCTCCTCTTGGCTCTGAGGCCCTTTATCCCTTCACAAACCCCTGCAGTACCCGAAACACCGCCAGGATGGGGCCAGTGCCGGTGGGGGTGTGGCTTAAAGCCACAACAAATTACTGTGTGAAGTGAGTAAAAATACTGGTTTAGGGAACTAAAGGTGCAACTTTCATCCAAGATAAAAATGATGGCGAACTTAGAGAATCAAAGAGCACAGAGTCTGGGTAATAGATGAAGACACTGCGGGGAAAGTGCCACTCACTGTGCCGGGAGAGCTGCCTCTGCAAAGGCCACGCACAGGTGGGCAGGACGGAGCCCGGGCGGCGTCCGTGCTGTGGGCTTCGGCCATTCTGACAGGCGTGGGGCTGCAGCTCATTGTCTTAATTTGAAGTTCTCTGATGACGTACAGTGTGGAACATTGTTTCCCGTGCTTACTTGCCATCTGTGTATCTTCTTTAGTGAGGTGTCTGCGCAGGTCTGCTGCCCATTTTCTAACTGGGTGGTTCGTTTTCTTATTGCTGGATTTTAAGAATCGTTTGTATACTTCAGTCCTTTATCACACATGTCTTTTGCAGATGTTTTCTTCCAGCCTGTGGCTTGTCTTCTCATTCCCTCGACAGTTGGCGGAGTGGAGCTCAGGGTGCAAGGGGGCTGACAGGGCGGGCTGGGGCGGGGACGGGGCGAGCATGGCCGCTGGCTGGAAGCAGGTGAGGCTAGCGGAAGCTCGGCAGGAAGGCTGCAGGCTGCGGGGACAGAGCGGGCACGAGGCGTGTCCCGACCAGCAGCGGTGGCATCACTGGGCACTTGTTAGCGAGAGTGCAGATCCGGGCCCACCCGCTCCTCCTGAATCAGACACTCTGAGAGAACTAAATAGAGTTAAATGTGAAGAGGGACGCTGAGGGTGGCGCGGGCAGGGGGTAAAGGAGGGCCGGGTGGCTGGTGTCGCTGCACCTTGAGCTGGACTGGGCCCCCTGGGTCTGGGCGAGGTGTGTGAAAACGGGGGAGGAGCCGGGCGGAGTCCCAGGAAAGTGGCAGGAGACAGGATCCACGTGGGACCATGGCTGGGGGAAGGAGGAAAAGCTTCCTGCGTGTCGGGGGCGCGGGGGGGGGGCGCCAGGGCTTGGGTCCCCACCGCAGTGCAGTGTCCGCTTCGTCCTGGAGCAGGACCTCAGGGGTGACCCTCCTCACACTTGGCTGCATATTGCAATCACGGGGTGCGGGGGAGAGCATTAAAGGCACGGCCCCCAGATGACACTCAGGTGCAGCCAGCGGGAGAGCCACTGCTGGGCAGCGGCCATGGAAATCGCACCCCGGTAACCGCCACAAAGCCCGTGTCACCACAGAACTTAACAGGAGGCCTTCCATCTCCACCTGTGTTCTTTTCGGATCTTCTGGGACCTTTGTATTCGAGCCCAGGAGACACCTGTGGCTGCTGGTTTAGCGGCTAGTCCCACGAGCTGACGCCCATGCAGCACTGCCGCGTGCACGCACCCTCGTCTATGAAACAGCTGAGGTTTTCAGGGCACTCGCCTTTCTACCGCGGCCACACGAACAATAACGCCGCGCCCTGTCCACCCCACCTCGCTCGCGGCCCCCACCCCGCCGGCCCATCCTCCTATCACCTGTCACACTCTCAACACCCAACTTCTCGTCCATGAACCGAGTGGCTCTAGATGCTCTGTCGCCCTCTCCCTGGACTATCAGCTCCACTGTCTGTTTTGTGTGTTTGTCTCAGTGACACTTGCCTTTATGATTGTGTTAGACTCACCTTAATGTGAGGAGAACCTCATGTTCCCTGGACAGGCTGTGACAAGGGAAGGTGTCTCAGGTGCTCTCGATGGTACAAATTTGGGTTGAAAACTTTTATCTAACGCACGTGATTGGAATCAAGCTTTATCTTCGAAACACTGGGGGCTGTGGTGACAAGACAGGCGCAAGGAAGAAAAAGACAACCAAAGTCGTTGCTATTTTTTTATTTTGCCACTCAAAATAATTACCAAAGGGAAAACATCTTAAATGATAAGAGCACAGCATCAAAGCAGTGAGGACAGGAATGGTTCACGCCACGTAAATTGGCATAAGATGACCCATCATCTTCAAGTCTCCACATGCCGTGAGGAACCTCCCCGGGGCTCCTCAGGACTGCTCTGTGTCTTCTGAGGAAATGGCTGAGGGGAGCACAGGCCCCAGGACCCCGGCTTCTGCAAAGGGGAGGGGCACTTAGGGGACAGCCCCGGCTGTCTGCGCAGAGTCACAGCTGGGGCTCCAATCCCAAATCCGGCCCAGCGTTTCCTGTTTCTTACCTCTGCATGATTTAATTCTCATACTTAGTATGCATGTGAAACTGTCAGACTTTCAAATTCATGCTTTAAGGAAGTCTAATTCCTGTTTGAGTGATAAAAGTTGGTATGTCCTAATGAAAGAAGTTCCATGCTACAGAATTCAAACCATAAAACACAGTAAAACACAAAACAAAAAAATAAACCCTGGAAGAGTCGATCTGCCCCTTGCTGAAAGGTCACCAGCAGATTTTCTATGGCTGGGGTATCCCCAGGGGCTCCCCTGGGCTCAGACAGGGGGAACCTGGTGATTGGTTTTGAGATTTCTAAGTCGTCCTCCCAGTCTCCCTGCCCGTGGATGGTTCTAAGGAAAAGCAATGGCTGCCTCCTCCTCCCCACACCCACCTGAAGTCCTTCAACCAAGGCAGTGGGGACGGAGAGCAAATGGGTCAAGACAGAACCAGGATCAGCCTTGTTTTCCAAACTCACAACAAAATTGTGAAGTGTGAAACCTGACAATCAAATGTCTCTTGGAGTTTCACAGCGTGCACCTCCCCCCCACCCCATGGTTAACTCTCAGAGCGCCCTGCCTTCCACAGGGGCGGTTTTCACCTGTGAGATGATCTGATTAAGGCCAGACAAGCATAAAGCAGGGACGGAAGTGCTGAGATTGGCACGGGGCTCACAGGGAGGCCCTGTCATCTACTATCTACAGAAGATGCTAGATCCAGCATCGACAGCCATTAGACTTAAACACAGCCTGCCCCAAATGTAGAAAGAAAAACCGAAATCTGAAGTAAGGGCTCCTATTAGTTTACCGTGCTTACGAGATAGATAGGGTTCAGCTGGCCTATGGAGAACCTGGCTTGTGTACTGTGGGCAAACTGGCATAGCGGTCGGTGCCATGTCAGTAACCACATGGTAGGACCTGAAGCCCAAGGCCCTCTTTCTTCCGTGAGGACCCTTTCCAGGGACAGTGTGGGACCAGCGGTAATCCCAGACTCTCTGTGGCTGGTTCCAGTTCCCATGCCTTGGAACAGTGTGACAGGAGGTATGTGGGGGTGGCCAGTTACCCCCGCTTAGACCCCTATGGAATCCTTTCTTGACCAGCTTCTTATGTGCTCAGGGCTTTAAGGGGTGGAAAAGTAAATCGGTCACATGTCACATACCTTTGAGATGCAAGAAAGTCAGAAACTCGATTATCGTGCGCACAACGGCCTTCTCATCCTGGTCGAGCAGCGGCCTGTTGAAGCTTCCTGGAAACCAGAGGGCTCCGTGTTTAGAACCTGCCACAGGTGCCCTGCGTCTTAGGACAGCACCGTCTAGGAGGTCAGTGAGCCCAGCAAGCGTGAAGCCATCGCCGAGCCCCCCACCCCATCCCAGGGCCTTGCTCGTGCACTGGAGGGAGCGGGTTCCAGGCCACCTCTCCTGGAGGCCCCGTCAAGAAGGGCTCTCTGCTGCCCCGGTGGCTGCCTCCTCTCGGGTTTTGCTGCTTCTGTTTCTGCCAGTTGACAGATACGGCTGGGCCAGACTCAGACCGAAGCTGTGGGTAGGGGGTGGTCGGAGCCTGATAGCCCCACTGCCCTGTGTGCCCTGGGGGGTGATGGACAGTGAAGCAACTCGGAGCCCCGGGATTCAAGTCCTCTCACCTGGCCTCGCTTCGTCTTCAGCTGGTAGCTCCCGCTTGCCAGCGGCGCTTGGCTTTTCATGGAATGACCTGTGGTTGTCAACGGCATCTGTGCAGATCAGACAGGACAGCCCCTGAATGGCGTTCCTAAAGTTATACGCTCCCCACACCTGGAGGACATGTGGCTGACATGCTCAGGGAACAGGGTTGTGAAGCTGGAGCCACAGCGTGGAAACGACCGAGGAGGAAGGTCACTCTCCATGGACCCTGAGGTGAGAGCTTGTGCCAGGGCCCAAGGCCAGGTCTTCCCAGGGTGCGAAAAGGACAGGAAGAAGCCTGCCAGGCCAAGAGAGGGCGAGAGAGGGCAGACAGGCCCGGGGAACACAGGCCTGGCGCAGCCAGGAAGCACCGAGGAGGGTTCCACAGGTGCTGCGAACAGCAGGGGCTGCGGTCCTATGTCCCCGAAACCAAGGGGGCACCAAAGAATTTCAAGTTACGACGTTCTGACGTAACCAGGTTTTTATTTTTCAAAGACCACTCTGGCAGCTGTGTGGGAGATGGATTGGAGCCAGGAAGTGCTAGAGACAGAGGATGAGGGAGTGGGGGGGAGAGAGAGACTTGGAGATAGAGGAAAAAGAAGGGGGGGAGCAGGGAGGCTGAGTGTGTGTGTGTGTGTGTGTGTGTGTGTTGGGTGGTGTGAACCTTGATTGCAAGCAGAGAGATCCCTTAAGAAACGACTGGAAAGAAAGAATGAGGGCCGTAAACCAAGCGGCCTGGGATGATGAGAAGGGGCTGGATTTGGGGCTTAGGAGATAAAGAATAAGAGGGGGGCGCGGACAGCTCTGGTTCCCGGCTGCTTGGCCTGGTGGGCTGTGTCACCTACAAGGCTAGACAGAAGAAAATGAATTCTTTTTTCCAGACTGAGTTCTTGGCCCTCAGTTTAGGAGAATGATACGTAAGCTGGTCCTTCCACTACACGGCTGGGCTTTGTCAGCACACATGTTCCTTACGTTGCCATTTTGTACGTGGGCAGTAAAGTCAAGGACACACTGTGAAGCTGTCAAGAAGTCTGACAAACAGGTCATCTGCATGCACAGCTCCTGGTGATCCAACTTGACGGAGATATAAACTTGACAGTAAAAAAGAATCTGTTTTCTAACTCGGGATTCGAAATCTTGATAAACTCCATATTCCAAAGTACCGTAATTATATATATATATAATTTTTTTTAATGAATATTTTTGTTGAACGGCTCCTCCTGACTTTGGGGCCTGCAGTGCACAGACAAGGTGCTTTCTGAGTGACAGAACTCGGGGTTGCAAAGGGTTCAGGAAAACGCATACTCTGAACCAGTGAAAGGGCCACGTGGGACCTGAGACCAAAGACGCCCAGCGGATCCTGCCCGTGGCCCCTGTAGCTTTTGCCTGCGTTTCTCAAAGCACACAGCTCTCAAGGACCCTCCAGGTGAAGGATGAACAGCCATCTGTAGGAGGAGGAACTCTATTTAAACTCCCCCTGTAGTTTAAACGGGGGCAGAGGCAGTCCCGAGGAATGGAGCAAACGCGTGAGCCTGGCAGGAAGGCAAGACAGAGGGGGCCGAGGGTCTGCCCAGCTGCAGGATGGGTCAGGGTTCAAGACAGCCAGCTGCCTCAAGGCTGGGGGGACAGGTGGGGTCAGGGGCCCCCGGAATTAGTCCATCGCCACGAGTGAGGGGAGTGGAATAAAGGGGGAGGAGGAGGACTGCTACAGGTGGGGGGGCTGCCTTTCAGGGGGTGGGAGCAGGTGCCATGTAGGGATGTGGCAAACATCATTAACCTACATGGAAACCCACAAAGTCTCAGGAAACGCCGTGCCTCCCCCCGCCCCCCTTTTCCCTTTATCTGACTGAAACTGGAATCTCAGTGTCTCACACTGACGTCTGGCTGCACACATTTCAGAAGGAGCGGGTTTAGCACACATGGTGACAGTGTCACTTACGTGCACCGAGAAGGTAGCCGGCGCTGTTCAGAGTCCAGCCCCTCTTTTCTTTCACCTTAAGTGGGAGAAAGGGGAGGGAGTCAGGCTGTGCCTCATGCAGGCAGCTTGTCTGTAGAGCTGGCCATGGTGCCCTGTGACGTCACGGACTTCAAATAACTGCAGAACTTAAATGACAAACACACCGCTGAACTCTTTCACCTCATCAGCTTAAGTGATGCAAACTGTTCAAGCACGAGTGCATGTGAAATGACATTCGCCCAGGCTTCCCAGGCAGAGTAGAGGAGTTAGAATGATGCATGTACCTCTGGAAGCTTCCAGAAATTCCAGGTTTGCCCCCAAACACGCCATATTTGACATGACAAAAGGACTACTTGCTTTGCGAAATAATTCCCTTTGGAGCTATAGACCACGGACGCATCTCCACCACCTGCTTTTAAGTGAGGCTGAGGACACGCGTTGATCACAGCGGCGCCCAGACCGCGGCACCGGCCCTCTGTGAGCGGAGAGTCGCCTCGCACGTCTCCGAGGCGCCGACCTGCAGTACAGCGGCGTCCGGGGCGACCTGCCGACCGCGAGGGCGCGGCGCCCGGAGAATCCGACCGCGGGAGCGTCTCCGCCGGGACCCCGCCCGTGGGACCCCGGCCTCCCCGCTGCGCCCCGCGTGTGCGTGTCTGTGCCCGGCACGGAGCGCCCACCCTCCGCCCAGTCCTGCTCTGATGCGATAGCCCCCCTTCGCCGAGAGGGGACACGGCCTGGGGGGCGTTTGTCCCCGCCCTGCACTTACCGGCGACCCGAGCCCCAGGGTGGCTGGAAGGGTCCCGGCGAGGAGCAGGGAGACCAGCAGGAGGGCGCCGCCTCGGGGCATCTGCAAGGGAAGGGGCGCTGGGGCGGCCGCACGCGCCTGGGCTTGGTGGCGGCGGTGCCGGGACCGAGGGCGACGAGGGCCGAGTCTGCGACGCCCCTGGCAGCCGGTGCCCGGGCAAGGGACGAGGGACGAGGGACGAGGGACAGAGGCGCCGCGCCTCCGGGAACGTCCAGAAAGGGGCGCCTTCCGCGGGGGCCGCCGAGGGCACGCGGTACCTTGAGCGGCGGTGGGCCCGGGGCGGTCAGAGACCGGGCGGGGTGTCGGCGGGTCCCGGGGTGTCGGCGGGTCCGGGCGTCCGGTCGGGTCGGGTCGGGCCGGGCGGGAGCGCTCACCGCATGGCGCGGCCTCGGGGACACGGAGGCGGGAAGCGCACGGCTGCCGGGATCCCTCGACGTGTCTGCGCCGGGAGCCGCCGCGGGGGCGCTATTTATGCGGCGCGTCCGGAGCCGCGCAGGCACGTCACTGGCTCGGTTCCCTCCGCCCTCGCCGAGCCCCGATGGGGGCGGGAGTGACCGCAGCTCAGCTCCTTAGGGGCGCTCCGAGGGCCGCGCAGTGGTCTTGGACTGGGGTGTGTGTGTGTGAGGGGTGTCTGGGACGACTGAGAGCCCCCCGATCCGCGCGGGAGAGCCCTTCAAACCCCGCAGAAGAGACCCATCAGCCTGAGTGCAGAGCCCCTATCAGCCCATGCAGAGAACCCCAAAACCACCGTGGGAGAGCCCTCAACACGGCGCCGCCCAGGTCACAGCTGTGTTGGAGAGCCCCACCCCTGTTACCGAGACCCTGGGCTGGGGGGCGGTGAGCCTTCCCCCCCACAACAGGGTGCTCCCCTGCGGGGAAAACCACTGAGCTCAATGGCCAGAAACCCCAGAAGAGCTGGGCGGGGACTACCCCTCAGTCCAAGCTAGTCCCAGGGCCCCCTGCCTCGCACTGGCACCCAGCGTTCCCACCTCTAGGTGCCCACTGGCTCTCAGGTACCCAGACCCCTGTCCTGTTCGCTAAAAGGGGGCAAATCAGCCAGGGCTGTTGGGCTGTAGGAGGGGGCACCCCACACAGAGTGTGGATGTTCTCCATATCCATGGGCATTGCTCGCCTAAAAGGGGTCCCTGCCAATGTCCCCCTCTTGACTCCCAGGTTCAGGACACAGCAGTTTTAAGCAGGGTCAGGAAGTGGTTGAGCTCTTGGGGACCTGGGGGGCCCAGAGTAGAGACCCACCCAGGCTCCCAGGGGTGACCAAAGGGTGGGCAGGTGGGTAGGGAGGCAGGGAGAGAAATCAGGCAGGAACAGGCCCCCCTCAGCGTGCGCCAAGAATCCTTTGTAAGCTGGGGCCAGGCCCAGTCGGCTGGCTCCTTCTCTGCTCACAGACAGCAGGGGACATACAGACGCGACACCTCTGGGCTTCTAAAGAGGGATGCGGCCATCAGGCAAAATTTTGCCTGAGCCCCTCTCCCTGGCCACTGAAGTCCCCAGCGGTGGCAGACAGAGGCAGCCCCTGCCTGTAGGTGCCGGCCGCCCCAACCTAGTTACCGGGAGGCTGCAGCCCTCTCCCCAGCAGCCAAGCTGAATATTAGGTTGGCTGATGCCATCAGGTACCCGCAGTGACGAGGACATAGGACAAATGATAATAGTGGGCATGCCACCTCGCATCTGTCCTGCATTTTACTCTTATGAGCCTTTTGTGCAGACAGCTCCGGCCACCCCACGGGGAGAGCCGTTTTCCTCTGCGTGGATGAGGAAGTTCACCGGCTTGAGGGTCATGGCCAGCTGGCTGGTTAGGAAGGAGCAGGGTCCTCGCCGGGGGTGCTGATTGCCGTCCTGGTTTGCTAGAGGGGTGCTGGTGGGGAGACCTGGCTTGGTGAGGGGTCTCAGGAATACAGACTCCTGGGCACAATGGGTGTGACAGGGGAGGGGAGTATTTTCAAGGGCACAGTTTGACTTCCAGTCACTCCTATTCCTGGCAGCCTGGGATGGGATGGGAGGAGAGTGAGGGGCGGGGGGTGAAGGAGGGGGCCCAAGACTCACAAACTGATTTCTGAAACCCATGGTAAACCTGGGGGCACATTCCCGCCAGAGAGGGGAGTGGGAGTTGGGGGGCTGCCATCCTGGTGGCCTTGGTCAGTTGGTGGGCAGAGGGGCAGCTGAGGTTGGGAGAGCAGAGGGGAGCTTTCTCGGACTCACCAGACCAATGATGGTGATGCCCTCTCCTGCCCTGAGTCCTTGTATGTAGAGGGCAGCATTGGGGAGTGGGCAGGGCCAGCCATGAGGGTCCCCCCACCCCTGTCCCCCACACTACCCAAGAAATGCCACTGCCTTTTGACAACTGCTGGTTTAACAGGGAAGTCTTGCTATCACTCAGGAACACTCGCTTTTCTTCTGAGAACCAGTGTGCCCCATGCAACATACATCCTAGCTAATGTCAACCTTTTCCTGTCTCCCAGGTTAGTGCCTCTTGCCGTGGGTGAGAGCTTGAGGGCCCTTCTGTTCTCAACTTACTTTGTCAAGGAGCCTGTCAGTCTGAAGAAGCAGAAATTCTGAACTGAAAACCTGGGTCCAGAAGTCCCTGGCTATGGAGCCAGCATTTCAGGTCTCACAGTGGGGACAAGGTGGCCCCCCCAGACAGGCAGGACACAGGTTCCACCCTGCTCAAGTGATGCCCTTAGGTGGGGCCGTCAAATTTTTATCTGAATAGTCCCCAGACCTTCCTGGAAGCAGAACCCGCCTGCTTGCAGGGCCCGGGTGCAGCCAGGGAGCCTGTCGGTGCTGGCACCAACCTGAGGGGGCATTGGCACCAGGACTGATAGAGAACAAGAACATGCAAAACAAGAAAAACCTGCCCTCTGGCCCCTTGTCCCACGTGTCTCATGGAGAAATCATAATCAGTCTTCACTGAATAATTACACACCTGTGCTCAAAACAAAGCTGCTTCCTCCCAGTGCGTAAGGTCTTTCACTATGACCCCCTTGGGGGACACCCACTGTTGCTGCTTCTCCCGTAGTCTGGGCTGTGACTGGTGACCCTGGAGTTAGGGGGATGCGACAGGGGGGGCTACAGACTGAGTGAGGCAGGAGCAGGGACGTGCTGTGATTCCCCAGGCTCGGGGGAGGCGTTCAGACAAAGGAGGGCCGTACACCTGGGATGACAGTCGCCTGCTTCCTGGCACACGCTGTGCTGGAACCCACAGCCACGTTCTAATGGGCTCTGTGTGCTCAGCAATGACCCAATGGGAGTCATTGTCAACTTGTCATCTTGAAGACGGCTCAGTGTGTGGCAGACAAAATGGGTCACCATTAGAGTAATGGAAATCAGGCAGAAAGCATAATTTTACCCCTGCATCGTGCGCGGGCCCATCTTCCCTTAGAAGCCCTGTTCACTACCACCAAAACCTGGGGCTGACGAGCAGAAACAACAAGGAGGCCGATGAGCCTGGGCCAGGCTGAGCCTGCACTAGAGCTTGGCCATGAGCCCCAGGACAGAGAGACGCTGCTTCCACGGCCCCGGGGGCTGCAGCAAGGAGCTCAGGTGTCCCTGCCCTCATGAAGATTACAGTTTAGTGGAGACCCAAACACGCAAAAACAATTATACAGATAACCGCCTCATTATCATGAGAGGGAGGTCTGTGGATTAGATTCAGGGAGCCTGACCTTACATGTGAGCAGGATTGGCCAGAGGGGGCCCTGCACATTCCAGGTGAAGGGGTGTCACATGGGTAACCCCCTTTTTAGGTCCCTTTCCCTTACTCCTTTTGCTGCCTGGAATGTGGATGTGAGGGCTGGAGCTGAGCAGCCATTTTGGACCACAAGCTGATGGCTTTGGATGACAGCAAGGAGTCTGGGTTCGTGGGCTGCCCAGCTTCCAGGCTTGTTTCGCGACAAAGAGAAATGAACTTCTCTCTTAAATAAGCCAATGTTATTTGAGGATTTTCTGTTCTATGTAGTTGGCATGACTCCTATTGGAAACAGTGTCTCACACAAAACAGTCAACAAATGATTGATGAATCACTTAATGAATACAAATGAATGAAGGGATGTACCACCTCCAATGCTGGTAAGGAGCTCACGTTGATGAGATAGGCTCATAAACAGGAGAAGCTTGGAAGAGAAGATGATCCCACAATGACCTCATTACTATTGAAGAAATGGGGAAATGGCTTAATGATGTAACACTGGCTTTTATTTGACCCTGCCAACGTTCGTGTCCTGAACCTCCCCCCTTCCATGACTTCTAGAAGCTAACCCCACCCCTACCCACCCCCACTCCAGTAACATAGTCGGCACCAAAATATCCTGAATTGCTCCTTGAAAATAGCTTGATAAGGTAGTAGCTTGGTGAGGGTCGGGCTACAGTGGAAGTTGCTCTAATTCTTTGGGTTTTTGAGCACATGTATTCAGTTCTTCAATATGAGTTTGTTAAAGGATCCCTGGTCCGTGTGAAGAGTCGCTTGTCCTGTCCACAGAAACAATTGGGTGCTTTTACTAGGGGTGCAGGCTGAGATGGGGCAGGAGGCGGAGAGGAGGGATTAGAGGTTTGGGACATTTGGTGACAGGATTCCCTCCCTCCTCCTCCCCAAGTTAGGTGGCCTTTGGGGAGACCCCTCCTCTCACTTCTTTGAGCATCTTCCTGGCCAGAGTCTCATCCAGCTGTAGCAGAGGCTGCAAACAGATCTTTTTTATGGACGGAGTTGCTGTCCCACTAAAATCAGGGTTCTGGGGCCACTGAAGAAAGATTGGGTGCTGGTGTCGGCAATTGGCTGCCTCTGCCTTGGAACACTCGCCCTTCCTCTGAGAGCCAGTGCATTCTGTGTACTGACGGTCGTCCTGGCCAATTTCAGCCTTGCCCTGCCTTCCACATTAGGTGCCTCTTGCCGTTGACAAGAGCAATTGTTTTCATGGCTGCAGTTTTGTAAAATTTGAAATAAGCCATAAGCACATCAGTCCAGACCCGTCTTTCCACGTCACTGCCCTGTGCCGTGGCTGCCTTAACGTCAAGCCGTGTTCGGGGGCCGCAGGCATTTCTGGGCTCTCTGGATTGAGGATGCATTTAGTTTGATGGGCTGTGGTGGTATGCCTACAGTGGGTTGATGTATCTCGTGTCCATGTACGATTGGGCTGCTGCCCTCCTCGTGGGAGAACGGCTCCCAGGGACAGCACCCGCCCTCAGTGCCCATTCCCTGGCATCAGACGTGTGACTGAATGTGCCCTACGGACTTGCTGGTTCAGCTCTGAAAGCCATCATCTCCCGGGGAAGATGGGGTTGAACCAAGCCTGGGGTCCCTGGAAAAATGCAGAGATGGCAGCTTTCCATCAGCTGACACCCTCCGCCAGTGTCCTGGGTGCCATCGGGCCTCTCATGAAGCCCACAGCCCCACACCAACTGCATCCCGCAATCCATCCACCCCAGACGCAGCTCCTGCGCAAACTCAAGTCTCCCATGAGGCTCTCGGCTGAGCGGAGTGGGGGGACCTTGTTCTGGATGGTCCTGCGTCCGTCGTCGTCGTACACGTCCTCGGCTCTGGCTTAGCCTTCCTTGCCTCACCGCGTGGAGCCGTCCTCTTCCCTAAACCCACCACAGGTATCTTGCCCCAGCGTGCTCCCCCGCTCCCCCCTACACCACCACCCCAGCCCTCTCCTCCACTGCCTTGGGCTCTGGGCCAGGGAGTCTCCCCAGACTGGCCCTCCCCCTAACCCCTCCCAGCCCTGCCCCCCACCATCGCTCCTCCCACTATGGCCCCTCCCATCTCTGGCCCCTCCCACCTCCCACCTCTCCTCAATGCCAACTGCCTATGAGGAATCCTTCCAGTTGAGCATCCCTGGGGACATCGCTGCTGGTCAGAGGCTCAGCTCCTCACAGGGAGTCCCGGAATCCACCTGTGCCCTGGGGTGACTCACCCGATTGGGATTTATCTGGGTGGCTCAGTCTGGAGGAGGGCAGAGCTGATTCCCTCGGTTGGGGGACTGGAAGCTGGTGACTCAGCTGCAGGCCCTGGGCAGCTGCACCTGCTTCCTGGACCCAAGTCAGGCCCACGGGAAGCCCCCTAGTGCCATATGGGAGCCCATCTGGCTAATGGGATGTGGGTGCCGAGGAAGAGGGCTGGTGGCTGGGGGGCCACCAGGGAGGGGGCAGTGTCAGAGGCAAGGGTGTTTCCACTTGGGGGCTTGAGCTGTGTGGAGAAGCAGCCTCACGGTGCTCCCAGCTGCTTCTCAGGGTCTCAGCATACTTCAAGGGACTTTAGACCATAAATGTTTAAAAAGCCTTTAGTTGGGCCGGCTGGATGGCGCAGTTGGTTAAGAGCATGAGCTCTGAGCAACAGGGTCGCCGGTTCGATTCCCACATGGGCCAGTGAGCTGCGCCCCAGCTGAGCTGCCGCTGAGCTGCCAATGGGCAGCCGGATGACTCAACAACAAGGTTGTTGGTTTGACTCCCGCATGGGATGGTGGGCTGCGCCCCTCCCCACCTCCCCTGCAACTAGATTGAAAGCAGCGACTGGACTTGGAGCTGAGCTGCACCCTCCACAACTAAGATTGAAGGACAACGACTTGGAGCTGATGGGTCCTGGAAAAACACAATGTTTCCCTTCCCCAATTCCCCAACACTGTTCCCTTCCCCAATTCCCCAATAAAATCTTTATAAAAAAAAGCTTTTAGCTGAAGAAGAATCCACATATGAACAGGTGCACAAGAGTGTTGAGCTGGCTGAATGTTGGCACAAACACAGTGCCGCCAGCCCCAGTCAAGGTGGGACGTGCCCAGGTCCCCAGGCTC